TATTAGTTGGGTGATAAAAATGTGAGTCGATTGGAATACAAGTGAAGGGGAGAGACGCCGACCATTTTCAATTACCCGTAACTGCATGTCCCATTTAAACTCGTACATTTACATTCCTTCTGTATATTACAGTAAGAAACTATATTACAGTAACACGCAATTGTTCCCTATATAATTTTATATTTGGCATTGTAATACTATCGGATTTATTGTGCTACAGTAACTCCAATAACTATCTCGTACTCGTGTTGCTATATTTCTAGTCTACATAGAATAATCGCTGTCAGCAGCATTACTTCGATTTACTCATGGATGGCTGATCTTCACTTTAGATGCCTGTTCCAATTCGATCACTAGCTGCTTCTGTTTGGGGTATATCGTCAAAAATCTTTTACTATCAGCTTAATTCATCTCTCTATGTAGTCATAGGCTTTCCATACCTATTCAGTTGCCGTGTCTCTTAGTAATTAATATAATAATTTTATTATACTTACAAATGTTGTAAACATATAATGATAGCGATGGTCATTCATCTGTAGTTGAAGAATCTGAAATTATTTGTAAAGGTGTAAGATAGGTAGATTAAATAAATTTACTATAGCCTTACTGCTCGAAAGAAAGCATTTATATTTGTAGGATTTGTATCTACAATAATCTTATAAATATCCTTCATTCGTACCGCTCGTAGAACTTGACGGTAAGTTTTCGGTGACGTCTGACGAATGTATAGTTCTGTTCGTATGTCTGCGGTTACATGAACCAGATCTTGATGATTGAAAATACCTACGTGAATAGTGTAAAATATAAGAAATGATTTAAATACGCCATTTCTTTGCACTAATTCCTTAACTTACCCAAATTGTCTTCATAGAGTATAGCAGTTTTCGTCCAATTTAAAAAAACCATCAAATCTCTATGAGCCAAATTCATAAGTCGCTGTGAAGGGTATAGATTAATAGAGAATTCCTTAGTGCTACCATATAAATCAATGCGAGACTCGATGTGTGGAATACCAAACGATTCACATATTGATTGCACATGATCTGAAAGCAAAGGATCTGATGGCCCAAAAATGACCTGGACACCTGATTCCACTTGTCGACAAATTTTCTTAGTTGTCCGAAATGAATCATCCCGCGGAGCATACTCTATATCGTAAATAAGCTGTGTATTTGATAATAGAAATTTTTCCTTATTTACACGATACACGGCATATTTGAATGCATATTCAATGCTACTATCTCGTTGATCTTCTGTAAAAATAGCACCTGTACCAAATACATAATAAATAGTTTAATGTAACTTAAGGGCATTCTATAAATACATTTTGAAAATTAGCAGAAAAAAACTAAATGTTTTTTATAAACCCGTGACTTGTTGCCCAGAGTGTGGGCACGTATTACACATACACATATCACTAGATTTTAAAGTGAATACTTCTTTAGCCGCATCACAGTGATTTTTCAAGGTCGCGTCACGTTGTAGTTTCGTGGCTCTTAGAAATTTTCACAGAAAGAAACCGGTGATTTAACCGATAGGTGGCTTACAGGGTAATTATAAAGTCTGGGTGACTTATTTGTTAATTTATGTAAACACATAAGAAGTAGTACAAAATATGTATTATAAATCAAATTACTATATAGGTAAGTATTAAAAATACGTTTACTCTTTTTGTATTAAAGAATTGTTTTAAAAAAGTCACGTGCAGCAAAGTACGCGTGATGAAGCGACTACTTCCTTACCGATTCATTGAAGGAAAGAGAGAGAGAGAGTTATATTGTACATATTACAAGAATAATTGAAATAATAAGATGTAGTATACAAATTTAATTTTAATTTATTTAATTCTTTAATTTGTACATTATCTTCAGTCGAAACAGGTATAGTGGATATCATGGATTTATGGTGACTGAAGTATGAAACATGTGTTCGTGATTCTAAATAATGTAGATTTCTGGAGAAAAGAGCATCAATCGTTCTTCCTGATTTAGTCGTGGCAATTTTCCGGTCGTTATTCATATCTAAATCGAATTTTTCACAAAGAAAGTGAAGTAGTGGCAAGGACGCATCCTCCGCGAAATTTACATTTAAATCACCGACGAGAATCAATGGTATGTGATCGTCACCCTACCAAGGATAGCAGCACCAAGATATCCTCAAGTTTTGAAGTGAATATTTCTTTAGCCGCATCACAGTGAGTTTTCAAGATCTCGTCACGAATCTTTTTTTTTATTTCCGTCTCGCTTTTGTTTTTGCAAGAAACATGGTTGAAGCTTTTAGCTGCATAGTTTAAGGCTTATATTTTTTGAACGAATGTGGTGGTTTATGTATATGTTGAGAAACAAACGCTGCCTTTAAAAATTTTCGTTGATTCACTAACATTATGTAACATGAAATTTAGCAAATTGGCCAACAAGAGTTCTTTTTACAAAATTGCGTTTAGAGAACATTTCCCTTAGCCGCACGACCATTCGCGATGTTTCGTCACTCTTACAAATTTTAACAGAAACAAACCGGTAGGTTGCTTACAGGGTAATTATTAAATCTGGGTGACTTTCTAATTTTGCCAGCGACAATAGGCAACTGTAGTGTTACCACCATGGTAATATGTGAAATGTAAAATTATTCAAATCCGGTAGTATTTTACCAAGAAGCATAACAGCATTAACATATCATATGTAATAACAATTGATAATGGAAACAAGTTAGTCGACATATTTACTTATTTTTAGCCTAACAAATTTCACTTTGAACAAAATATTAAATTTCATTGAAGTGTAATATTTTAGTACAACAATAATGAAATTGCGGACTTAAGATGCCTGATATGTCGCTGCCGTATTTAAAATGTTCAAGAAGCTTAGTTTAAGACGAAAATTGCCGACAAGAAAATGTCGCCTTCGAGGAGTCGGCTTAATTTTTCAAAATCAATATATTTTATACTTACAAATTTAAATTAACACAGCTTTCGCAATCACAATTCTTTCGTAATTTTGTATTCTATCATTCTTGTCATTGAATTGAAGCTGGCAATGTTCTTGTGTGGGCATTTGCATCTTTCTAGAAATGGCGTCGGTATATTCGAGCTGATATAGCGTATGTTTGAGCTCTTGAACCGTTTCAAAATTTTATAATGATGACAAAAATGTGAGTGGTTGATGAAAAGAGTAGAAATCTACTATTTTCTCCAAATATGTTTTATGGAAACATAAGATTTCATCTTTTAAGACTTAAATAATTGTTTCACAATTTTTATTTACTTATTCAATAATTGAATATGAGCAATTATATTTACATATGTATGCTGAAAATTATCATTAACATATAACCATTATTATAACCATGCATATACATACATTTGATTGTATTTAATTACTATCCTCATTATTTTATTTTAATATAAAGAGTAATTTAAATTTTCCTAAATTACAATACATAGAAGTAATTGTCTACTTACATTTAGCGTACGTGTCTATATACGTGAGAGTGAAAGACACACTACGTGAACGGAGCATACAAACACGCGTTCCATACTATTCGTAACTAACTTTTATTGATTAAACTTGTATTCTACAGATTTCGCAATTCCTAAAATCTCTGCAAAGAAAATTCTAGAGACACAATCTCGAGAAAATTTGCCACGTCTCAAGAAAACGGCTTAATCAAAAGCGGAGCGTAATCGAGAATACCGAGCACAAAAAAAATTGGAAATCTGCTCTAAACCAACACCCGATTGCATGTAGCTCTTCAACCAACGAGAATGTATGTATTATAAATGACGAACAATAGCAGCAATATGCAGTCACAAATGAAGATATTTCAAGGGGCAATAGTCGTTTTCAGTTTCGTGAATATTTTTATAGCCAAGATAGTACTCGAAATTTACAAAATGATGGAATTATTGCTCAAGCTAACATCCATCACTAAGAATCATATTTACCCTCACATCTCGTTAAAATTACAGTACACGAACAATTTACTGATTAGAGTGATAATGCAGCAATCAAAAAACAAACGAAAATTGCAAAAACACCAGCCGAGCGTTGTAGGAAATATAGAATGCTAAAATGCAATACCACATTGCAACTGAAGCTTCAACTAGTACTTTGCTAGATGATGAGATATCAATTATGCATTGTGATTCATTCAATCAAGAAAGCACAGCAAAAATACCTGCATAGAGAAGTCCAGAGTATAGAGCACGACGGAAATATTTGCAGAAAGTGATTGCAACAATATCAAGTAGTGAGCCGTCCCTTAGTAATACGTTAAATGAAATACACGTTGTTAACGAATATACTCCGTTCAATCCACAAATCGACAATTTTAACCATCCGGTATCAAATTTAGAAAAAAAATTCTTCATAGTTCATTTGTACATAGCTGCACTGTTGGCGACAGGTTGAGGTTTAAAGCTAATCTGAAATTTCCGTCGCTTGAGCATGAAGAAATTTTACTAATAATATTACCCAATATATTTATGAATGATATAATGATTTGCAACATTTGCTCGTTATCGTTGAAAAGGAAAAAAATTCCAGTTATGTCTGTCTACAATGGATTCAAATATCCAGAAATTCCTGATCATTAACCACAGCTGGATTTGGTTACTGATATGATTATTATTTCACCATGTATTCCATTCATGCAAATTACTATTTTACGACACGGTCAATACGATATCTATGGACAAGTCATAAATGTTCCCGTTTCAGTGGATACAAAGATAAAACGTCTGCCAAGAAACATCGATGATGATCACTGTATAAATGTTCATATAAAACGTAGGAAGATCCACAAATCGCGTTGTTTACATGGTATAATAAACAAATGTGGAATAAAAAATAGGTTAGAATTGTTGTTACCCGCTGTGATGGTGATCAGTGATTTTTCAACAACGATACAACTCTCCCTGCTACTTCTCAAGAGGATGTCAGTGAACATATTTCGATTAAAAAGAGTTTTACTGCTCAATTGCAAACACTGTTATGAAACGAATACCAATACTTACGCATTGCACCGAGAGAACACAATATTCTGCAAAGCATTTTATGGGTATGAAAATCATGCTACTTAGAGTTCGTGATTCTCATCTACTATTGTATGTTGTTGATAACTTCAAGAGAATCGAGTTCTAATATATTATATGTGGAGTTCACATGCACACTTTTAATGTGGCTGGCAAATGCTCCATGTGAGGCCCTCGCTGAAAATAAAGACGTTGCAGTAGCATTAGTTAACCATTTACATCGGCTTCAGAAGCAGGAGCGGTAGGATATATAAAATTACAGACACATAAACACACGTTCACAAAGCTATAAAAAACCATTGCAAATAGACCTCCACCATGTAGATTTGAAGCCCCTTTTATGCAATGCCGAAAAGCAATAATTTTATTGGCAATGTAGAAAGAAGAACCTGGTTTTTATTATTATTCTGGGCATTACAAAAGTATCAGGCTAAACTAAAATTATGATTATATTAAATTGGTGACTCTTTACCAAGCTAATAATATACTTCCAGACGAGAATTACTGCAATATACCCTAAACTGGGATCAAACGGGCCAGAGTTTTCGTAAAACGTCAACCATGTGAAAAATGGCAAAACTCGTTCTTTAACATCATGAAATCAAACATGGATATTCAGTTTATTACTGAAGAGTATTTCTGCGCTGCATACGTGACTGAGTATATCAACAAAAGTAACCGAGGAGTGAGCCATCTTCAACGTGAAATGATATCGGCATCAGTATGCTGAAGCTGCTTAGTATCTGCTGCGAGAACCAAGAGGTCTACTATAGTAGTCAATATTTCTTCTAAGAATACGAGAAACTCAAAAAGAACTATATGAGGTGGTAATTTGAGATATTTGGAAAATTATAGTGTTCGTTCTCATGGATCTTACGAAAAAAGGACATGACATTGGACAAGACTTAAATAACTATAAGTGAGAGATGGTCTCTTTACATTATCCATTTCGCAATGAAGACTCTGAAATACTAGCAGAATTCAAATTCGTTACAACATATCATGAAAATGAGAATTCGATTTAGAATCGTAGAGAAGATTTTGAATCCAACATCGACATTCAAAAGACAACAGGAATTTTTCGAGATTTATGTCTAATAGATCAGAATAATGACGATGATCCATTCGAACAGTTACAAGTATTCAATAATCCCAGCACAGAAATGAATTCCGATATTCATATATAAAAGAAAACTTAATGCCAAACGCAAGCCAATACTGTTCTATGGTGTGTTCGTC